TCAAGGTGTGGTGTCTGGCTGCCTCTAGCAAGCCACGTGCATCGTGTCCTTTTCCTGTGAGTTACTTCATGCTGAAGGCAAAAATTCTACAGCTTTAGGTCCCAGTGTAAGTGCAGAGTCTCTCTTTTAGGTCTGAAGTCCTCAGCATCAATCTGAATGATGAAACACCAAAATTGCTGCATCAAGTAAAACTTCCAGGGATGTCTTTGTTCCCTTTCTAAAACCCAGCTTGTCTGTGGCTGGGCAGCAGAGGGATTCAGCATCCTGGGGCCAGTGGACACTGGTTTACTCCAGAGCAGACAGAGGTGGTGAGGGGGGAATGGAGCTCGTGTTCCCTGGTTCAAGGGTGTCAGAATGTCCGTGCACAGCAGGGGGGAGATGTGCTTTCATTCATGGTCAGCTTTAGCATGGCCAGTGCTCATGTGCTGACTGCTACAACTGTTGCATTTCCTTTCTCACTGCAACTTCTGTGTGTAATAAATACTGAGGTGCAAATGTATTCAGATTTTATATGTGTCTTTCACATCTAAAACCTGCATCTGATACAGATGCAACGGGATGTGAACAAGGCCAAATTGTTGTCAGGGTTCCATGAGGTCAGTTGTCCTACTTAGAGATACTGAGCCTAGAGTCAGGCTTCCAAAAGTGGACATAAATCAATAAAATGAAGGATGGTGTGAAGTACCTAGACACAGGCATCATCCCTGCTGTGTGGGAAGCAGAATAAACCCCACACAATTGGCATGGCTCAAGCGCAGATGTTGTCAAATAATAAGCTGTTCTTGTTTACATCAGATTTTCTGTCAGCTGCTCTTCTCCAGGAATTACAGATCCTGCTGGAACGAGAGCTGGGAGCTCCCTCTGCCTGAGCAGCAGCCAGGGTTGGTGCTGGCTTCCCTTTGCTGGGAGCCTGCCCTGCTTCCAGGAGCCAGCCTGGGATCGGCTTCCTCCCCATTCCCCTCGGTGCCTGTTGTCAACAGCTCCGGCTGCCACTAGCAGTCAATTTGTAACTGCATCAGTGTGTGTATTACTGCTCACATCGATAGCACAATTAATGTTGAAGTCAATTTTGGTGTTAATTTTAGGCCATGATTAGTGTTGACACTGTGTGTCAAACTAACGGCGTTTATGAGCGCCATGAAAAGGAGCGTCAGTTAATGCCCTGGCTTTACGGGCTCTTAATGGTTGCATTAAGCCAAGGATCTAGCAGGAGAAGGTGTGTATAAAATTATATATCTAAAACTTGTGTGTGATGCGTGTGCGTTCTGCATTGCTGGTGCTATTCAGGGAGCAAATGACATCTGAGCACTGAATCCTAATCACAGTTTGGAACATCAGAAATAATGATCACTTCTGATCGGAGGTTGTGAATAATTCATCTGGTTTGATTTCCACGTTCTGTCCAGTGATACTTTTCAAACCAAATGTCTTCCTACAGGAGAATAATGGTTCCACTTCTTATGGAAATACTGTGGCACAAATCATTTTGCCAACATAAAAACAGTTAAATAAGATGGTTCCTGCTTTTATTTTTTCCTCCTTCTCTTCTTCATTCCAGGCTGTGCTGGGAATAGAGCTGTGGCAGGAGAAGCACTTGCCAAACTGTGCTGGCTCTTAAGAGCCCGTTTGGAAGCCACTGCTGCTTACCATCACCCATTATTGTCCTGACAGTGCTCCTAGGTGATTAGCTCAGCCTGTCTAATTAACCTGTGAACTCTCCTTTTTTGGTGTGCTGCCGTTAACTTAAAAATATCCTTTTTTTTTTTTCTGAAATAGGAAGCTATCCTCCACTGCCCAAAAATTTAAACAGATTCTACATTGTTCATAGCAAAAAAAAAATAATTTTAGTTGTGCCCTGTGATTTTTATTACTGGATAAATGGCACAAAACATTATTAGGGAGGCAGAAGGACACACAAGTTATTAAAATGGTGCACTTTAATTTTTCTTCCCTTAAACTGCATATGGTTGCCCCATATTTACTAGCTATAATTCAAGAGTTTGTGTTTACTGTGCCCTGGCCAGCTAGTTTCTCCTGGCAAGCATTAACAAAAGGTATTTCATTCAAGTAGAGGAAACAGGAGCTCTGGTTAGGGAGCGGTTCCAAGACTTCTGTTACAACCTGAATTTTCTAAATTGGGGCTTTTAATTTGCCTGTTTTCTATACTGCCAAAAATCATCAAGCTGATAGAAGTGGGGAAAATCTCTTAACATTTTGATAGATGAGAGGCTGTGGCACCTCTCCTGGATACTCACTCAGCTCACTCACTAGTCCTGAAGTGCTGGAGCAAGTGTCAGTACCTCCGCCTCACACGTGAGCTGAGGGTGCTGGGATTTTACTTGCAGCATGTTTAGGGTTATTGTGTAGGTTTCTGGCAGTGCCTTTATGTGTTTCTACCCTGCAGTTTGCCACGGTGACAGGTATTTAGCAAATACAAAGCCTGAGCATTTCTCCTGTTGCTCGTGTGGCTGATGTTCATCTGATGGTGCTTGAAGCTCCCTGGGGTCGTCCTGGCTGGTGGGATCAGTGTAGCTGTAAGGAAACAACTACTTAGGCAAAACTCTGTAAATCAGAGTAAATTAGTGTTACTTCTTTGCTAGTTTGGGGGAAGTTTACAGTGCAGTTTTAGAAACTCTTACCCCATTTTCCCTGCAGGCTTAGTCAGTAACTAAAGCTGGTTTCTGAGGTGGTATCAGAAAGATTTGGTAAATGCCCACTTAAGGATTTTAGCTATGGCAGAGGAAAACTAAAAAAGCCTCTATGCTATGGTAAAGAACTGAGCTGCAGGGGGTGACAGGGTATTGATGGACATCCCTTATTTCTTAGAGGCTAATCTTGAAGCCCATCACTTTGATTTGTGGACTTTTTTAACCTGCTCTTTTGAAATGCAAGCTTGCCCACAGTTCAGAGCTAGAGCAGAGACACAATATCCAGCCCCTGGCATTTCTTTTCCTGCAACAGTCAGCTCAGAAGGACAAAGCTTACTTTGCTTCTCTTTTTTTCACCTTTATTCTTACTTTTTCTGCTGTGGAAGTCCAGCAGTAGAGGAGCAGGCCAAGGAACCCCTGTGGCTGTGTGGGTTGGTTTGGGATGTGTGAGGTTGCTCTCCTGGGCTGGTTGTCTGTGTGACCCCTGCTCTCTGCACACACTTTTGGCCTCTGTGCCTGATCAACGGCTGCATCCACTTGTTTTACAGCCTTGCAACTTTTCCCTTTAACTGGACAATCACACTGGTGTTTTACCAAAGCGTGCCACTGACTTTTAGGGGTTTGTGCCCCTGCCTCTGGAGCTGCTGTGGCGGCTCTCTCCTCCAGACACTGCGGCTGGATGCTGAGATGTAACTGCAAATCTGCAACTATTCAGAGGCAAACAGATTAATCCCTTACGACGTATCAGTCAAAACAGCAGCGGATGAAACTGAGACCAGGGAGAAGGGGAACTGAAACCTCATCACTCTGTTAACTTGCAATCTCAGCTCTCGGGAGGGGAGGTGCACGGGAAGGATCCGCACTAGCCGGTCGTAATATTTTTGGATTGCTGCCTGCTTTACTTCCAATGACCCTTTGATTAATTCCTCTGCCTTTTTATTTTTTTAATGAGCCTATTATGGCATATCTTATTGCAGCTGCTGATTGGATCTCAACTGTGTATTGTGCCATTTTGATTTGGATTAAATGGCACATATCTATCTGCTGCTTCTCCCCTCTCCCCCTCCCGCTTTAGTTCATCATGTTCAGAATTCAGAGTCTCCACAATGAGAGTTTCAGCCCTCCTGATTGCAGAGGATGTGCAATCGGCTTGAGGAATGTGTACTCAGAGCTTATGATCCTTGGGCAAGCGGGGACTGGGTGATGCATGTGGCTTTCAAGGGAGGCTGCTATTTCCATCTGTTAATGGCATTCCAGGATGGCCAGTGCCTCAGCGCAGTGATAGGCGGCAGCTGAGAGATGGGAGATGCAGGGGACAGATGCTGCTGATCTTCATGAGATGGGCCAGAAGAGATCATCTGGTGATTTTAAAAAGAAAAATATGCAGGGGAAATAAAAAAAAGGAAAAAAAAAAAAAAAAAAAAAAAAAAAAGAAAGAGAAGCTTTATTTATTGAGGCAGGTTTGGAAAGAAACTGCTGCAATATTTGGGAAGGAAAAAGGGGAGAGCCAAAGAAATGAAAGGAAGGACAGAAAAAATTATGGAGGTGGTTATGTAATAAAAGGGTTATTAAAATGAGGGCAGGGTGATGAGGTTCTGGGGTGCTGTCTGGGCAGCCTACAGCAGATGGTCAGGAGTCCTGCACAGCAGCACGTCCAGCCTCACCCCAGGACTCTGGCACACGGAGCAAGCGCAGCACCCTGTGAGCGTGGTGTCTGCAGGGTGTTCTGGGCCCCTGGCAAACCCCTGGATGGGGAGAGGCAGGGCCCGTGCTGCTGAGCAGGGTGGGAAGAGAGGTGGAGGATGTGGGATGTGCTCCAGTGCGTGTGGGAAGGCCGGAGTGCTGCCCGCTGTGCCCAGCCCTGGCAGCGCCTGCCGGAGCTGCTGCTGTTGGAGTTCCTGAGGAAAACAAATGGCCCCCGTGTGGTTCCCCTTTCTCAAATCTGGAAGACAGGTGTGGAGAGCTTAGCCACAGAGTGGCTAACAGCAAAGGAACATGATAAAGTGCAGCTGGTTGAAGTTTAGTAAAACAAACTCCAGGTCAAGATAACCTGGGGTGCAACTGTTGTAGGATAATAGGATGAGTAAAAGGAACTGGAACACTAAGATAAAGAACTACTAACCGCAAGACTAAACACAAAAGATAAAAATAAGAGGGGTTGCCATGTAATCTGTAACCAATGGGGAGCTTCACTTTTGCAATATGTATGAGCCAATTAAGAACAATATAAAAAATACCTTCTGATTTTCAATAAACGAGGCTTTCCGATCATCATAGGATGGTGTCTGTCTCCCGCTTATTCTCCGTCAGACAGGCACTTAGGTTTTGTCGTTGTCTGCTCTGTGATTGCAGATTGGGATGGTGGCCTGGAAGATGACTCTGAAGACCCCCGAGTACCCGGACGGCCGGGATATCATCGTCATCGGCAACGACATCACGTACCGGATCGGCTCCTTCGGGCCTCAGGAGGACGTGCTGTTCCTGAGGGCCTCGGAGCTGGCTCGGACACACGGCATCCCCCGCATCTACGTGGCTGCCAACAGCGGAGCCAGGATTGGTTTGGCTGAGGAGATTCGGCACATGTTCCACGTAGCTTGGGAGGACCCAGATGACCCGTACAAGGTAAGGAGGCACAGGTGAAACTCTGCAGGAGCTCACAGAAGATCTTGTTTTCACACTGCTGCTTTTCAGAGAGATGAGGGTAAGCGTTTGGATGCCAATCATCCAGATCCCATATCAAGGAGAACTTTGGACCTAACAGTCTGGCAGAGTTAGTGCTAAATGTTGTAAACATCCCTAGCTTTCACTGACCTCAGCTGCAGCTCCCATGTTAGGAGGATGTTCTTATCATTACCTGGAATTAAATTCTGCTTCCTTGACCCTTTCATTCTGGAAGTGGTTATTGGGGATTGGGAAGGGACTGCAGGTGGGAAGGAGATGAATGAACTGTTTTTTCCTGCAGGGATACAAATACTTGTACCTGACTCCTCAGGACTATAAGAAAGTTAGTGCCCTGAACTCGGTTCACTGTGAACACGTGGAGGACAATGGAGAGTCCAGGTAAGCACAGAATGAAAATGGAATGAAAAGGTTTCTGTTCACCCTTGGCTACACAAGGTGATGTGTGTCATGGCCTTGTTTTCAGCTAGGACATTCTTTAGGACCTAGGTATGTAGAAAGCCACAGCTGTGTGTGGCCAGGGCACAGAAAGAGAGTTAGGAGTTGTATCATGATGTGCCTTGTTTGAGGTAGTGCTCTGTTGGCTCCTACTGCCAGTCATGACTGGGGGTCCTGCAGCAGTAAACACTCAATGACCAGGACAATGATTCTTGCCCAAAGACCTGCAGTCTATATGTTGAAAATGGCTTTTCTGCTAGATTTTGTAGAAGGGATAAAAGAATTCCTGGGTGAAGGCTGAGCCCTCAGTGCATTTTGAAGGGCTGGGCTGCAGTGGTTGTACTGAACTGCCTTATAGCCTGTGGCTTTCCACAGGTCTCCCCAGGGTACATCCTAAAGGTAGCACATCTGAAAATGGGGTGCAAAGAAGCTTTCAGAGCTAGGCTGCAGCTGTAGTGGTGCTCCTGGCCAGAGGGACAGGGGTGTGCTTAGGAAGAAAAAGAAAAAGAAAGAGGGGGAAAAAAAATCCTAGTTTGCAGACTGGTGAGGTCTGACAGAACAAACGGGTGGTGCTGGGTGCAGGGATGTGTGTGTGCCCACACATGTGCTGGGGAAGCTGGAGGCTCTCTTCAGTGAAGCACTTAAGCACATGCTCAAGTACTTTGCTTAGCAAGGGCCTAGTGGAAAAGATAGAAGCCCATCTGAGAGTGCTGAGTAAGAAGGGACAGTGCTGGGGAAGACAGGCATGAAAGGAGAAAGTAAAGAAAAAATTAAGAGCTTCATTATAATCCCTTGTTCTGTTTCTTTTTCCTTTTGGCTGCATTCTCCTCCTTTCTTGCCCTTTTCTCTATAATCAGCCTGCTCCTCACGTCCTGTGAGAGCAACAGAAGAACACATTCCATGGGCATTCCTCTCCCTTGGCATTTCCTCTGTGCAGTGCTGCTCATATGCAGGACTATCCATGGTGTTCAGCACGGCTGCAGAGTGAGCCCATGTACAGGTCCTGGCCAGGTTTTTATGCAGGTTATTCTTTGGAGCTTTAATGATATTTAGTCACTTTTCATTTTCTTAGTAGCAAACTGATTCAGCAAATCACTGGACCTTGTGACTCAAAGGCTGTCTGTGTCTCCCTCAGGTATAAGATAACAGATATTATCGGAAAGGAAGACGGGCTTGGAACAGAGAACCTCAGAGGATCTGGCATGATTGCTGGAGAATCATCTTTAGCCTATGATAGCATTATCACCATCAACTTGGTAATCCCCCACTGCTTTCTATTCTTCAGATAGTATTGTCTGGTTCAGCTAAAAATCTTGCAATGATATCCATCTGGGATCAGACTTCGAGTTCATGTAAATTGGCTCCTGTATGCTTTGAGCAAGGCTCCTGACACCATTACAGGGCTGGGTCCCTTTTAGACTAAAATTAAACTGTTTTTACAAAACAATCATTTGGCTTCATGTTTGCTCAGTCTGTAAGTTACTGCTTCTCTTTTTTAAGGTAGAATACACATATGTTCAGATGCTGTGCTTTATAAAGAAAGTAGATTCTGGACTTTTGCAGTGAGAGTAGATTTTGTAGCCTTGTAATAAAAACATGCCTGGTTTTATCTAGATGTTTGAATCGATAGAGTTTGGCTGTGTGGTAAGACAGAAATCAATGTGATTTCTTCTTTTTCTTCTTTTTTTTTAGGTTACGTGTCGGGCGATTGGGATTGGGGCTTACCTTGTGCGGCTGGGTCAGAGGACTATCCAGGTGGAGAACTCTCACATAATCCTGACTGGCTGTGGAGCCCTCAACAAGGCAAGTCTTTGTATTTCAGTCTTCAGAGCTGTGTGAATTGAGTTGGTGTTTCTGTGAGTTCTGGGAGACTCGGGGAGCTGCCACCACATGCCCATCACTGCGTTTGATCCCTTTTCCTCTCTCCCTTCTCAGGCTCCTCCTGATCAAGGAGAGCAGACCCAGGGCAGCAGCTGTGAGACTCTCCTGCCTTTGCAGGCTTGTTCCTGGTCTCTGGTCTCTGCTCAGGAGGCAGTCCTTCCGTGCACGTGGGGTTTTTGACAAGAACATTGTATTGACAGCTGGAGGTGCTGTTCCAGGTGTCCTGGCTGGAGGTGGGCAGGAGACCTGGGCAGAACTGCAGATCTAAGGGCTCCAGCATGAACCAGGTGAAGGGAAGGAGGAGAAACAGCCTTTAACACAGGCTGTGTGCAGTGACTAACTGGAGGAGTGGATGAGCTCACTGACTGGGCAGCAGCTTCTCCCACTCCCTGTGTACTGTGATAGAGGGGGCAGGGTCTGTGAGACCGTGTTTCAAAATACATGGGCCAGAATCACCCTGAACTTGGAGCCATCTGCAGCACTGCATTAGCACTGGGGGAGCGTGTGGATGGTGATTTTCAAGGGGTCAGACCTGCTGGCAATCTCAGCTGAGGGAACAGAGAGAATAACTCAGGCTGTGAGAGAGCTTACTGCTTTTGCTTCTAAAGCAGTGCTTCATTTTTTTTTTCTCCCCACCAGAGGCAGGTTTTTCTCCCTTGCTGCCCCAAGCTTATTAATACTGCAGCCTCCAGCTCCTTGTGTGGAGCAGACACGGCTCGCAGCCGACTGGGCTCTTGTCCCTCTCAGTGAGGGCTTTGTTTGGGCAGGAGTTGGGATTGTGTGGTGCCTGTGCCCTTCCCCATCGTGCAGCTTTGTTCTCAGGCACTCTCCAGCACCTGGGGTGGTTGTGCTTCAGCACAAGCTGCGTTTCAAGGAGCGCCTGCCTGACAATGGGAGATAAAAGGAAAATAGTCTCTCGTTGAATTATTCCCCTGAATAAAGGGGGCTCTGCGGAAAATGAAGCATTGATCCTATCAACTGTAGGATGCAGCACCCTCAGTTAGATCTCTTACACACATCACACACACCTGCATCAATGGAAGGAAAAGAGGCATTTGAAGATCCGTCCTTTAAAAAGAAATTGAGTCAGTTTAGTGCTTGCTGAAGTGGAGTAAGTTGCCTGGTTCCAGCTGTCATTTGTTGGGGATCGGGGCCCTGCAGAGTTTCCCAGATGGCAGGGCCAGTCTGTTCAGTCCTCCTCTTCTCTCTCCTTTCCAGGTTTAACTGCATTCTCTACTGGTGTAGTGAACATTTGTTTTTATAGGACTAGATTAATCTCACTGAATTTTAGGCACTTAAAAATTAAGGATTTAGTCTAAATTAAGCACCTGACATCTGTTGGAAGGCGTAAGCAGAAGGAGATGCTTTCTGGGGGTGATTTATCCCGTCCCAGGAATTTCAGTGGGCTGAATACTCCCATGTGTCCTTTTCTCTCTTCCCTGCTCCTTTTGGAGGTGTGTGTTTTTATATAGGCACTGAACCTCTGCCTGCTGACAGGTCAGGAAAGGAGGAATCTATTGCATCCTATCTAGCTTTCCCAGTAAGACACCAAAGGCCAGAGCAAACAACAAGTTTGCCTGTTCTTGAGTAGTGGGAGACTGGGAATTCCCACTCTCACCTGAATATTGTGTGATGTTTCTTGCTAGCTTGTATGATCTTCGTTTTCCAGTCCCTGCAGTTCTGGCCACAGCTTGTTGAATGGATTCAGCTATAACTGCATCCCAGAAGTGGCAAAATGATGTCCAATGCTAGCCTGAAATGATCAAGCTCAGTCCAGCTGAGATCTCAAGGAGGGTGTGAAGCAAATGGTGAATGCTGGTGCATTTGCATCACCCTGCCATGGAGGTTGTGTCTGCTCCAGACTTACCCTCTGTCTCCCTGTTCTTCTGTGTAAACTGTTAAACATTTGTTCCTTGAATTCAGATGGGCAGTTTGAGGTTTTTTTTGCCTAGAAGTTAGGTCTCTCAATTAGTCCAAGTCTTCCCTTGTAGGAATGCAGAGGCTATTTGGGCATGATATATGATGTGTTCTGGTTCATTCGTGTGAATAAGGCTCCAGAAGGGTCTCATGGTGGAAACCTGTTGTGGTTTTTGTCTGTGGAGCAAGTGAGCCTTGGATTAGATCATGAGAAGAGCCCTGGGCAGCAAAGTCAGTGCTTTACTTTGTGGGAATTAGAAGGTCACCCCTCCAACTGGCAGGGTCTTAGAGGAAAGATCACGAGTGAAACAAAGAGAAATAAATGCAAACTGCTACCTTGCAGGATAGTTGGAAGTGAATGTTTTCTCACACAATTGCATCCAAATATTCCTTTAGCTTTTCCCAGCTAGGTGTCAGAGATTGGGGACAATGTTTTCCATAAAGGATGCTGCACAAAGCTTATGTGTAGCCTCTTGTCTGCATACACGTCGCCTTCAAAATGTCTTCTCTCCGTGAGACGAGAATGTGCAGTGCAGAGATGTTTCTGCAGCAGTGGAGAATATCAGCCTGGCAGTGATCAGTGAGGCTTTCTCTGGAAAGTTGTTTGATTTTCTGTTGTGTGTGTTTTTTGTTGTTGTTTTTTTTTTTTCCCCTTGTGAAATACTGGATTCCTTTTTAATTTACAGGGGAGCAGAGAGGGACAGTGACAAACATTACGTGCCAGCAAATCTGTTGCTGGTCTTGTTCGTTGTTATTATGTAAAACCAGCCTGAGGATTTAGGTGTAGAGGGAAAGGTCCAGCTGCCAAAACCAAACCGTAGCCTTTAACTTAGATGATGAGCTCAAGGTCAATATCATTTTGAGCTGAAGCTGATGTTTGGTTCTGGAGGTTGACTGATCACGTGCTGGCTGTTGGCTGCGTCCGTGTCTCTGCTTTGTAAGTAGAGAAGCGCACCAGGGGGAGGCACCTGCTGCCGGGCAGGTTGGAGGATTCTCTCAGCCCCGTTGCCTGTCGGGGGGTGACCAGGAGCTGCACAAGGTTTCCCTCTGCTCCTGATGAAGCTGTCTTTGTTTCTAGCCCAGCCCGGGAGGCGAGGGGGAGAGCTGTGGAGAAGGTGTGCTGCTGTGTGGTGGGGCGCGGGGGCTGCGTTTCACCCGCACCCCTTTTGTCTTCCCCGGCACCTTTCAGCAGGGGGTGGAGAGGTGGAAATGACATTTCATTCCTCTCCCTGAGCCTGTGCCGAGCCCGCTGACCCCCCTGCAAATTGAAATAATGATAATGCGCGTCTCCTGACTGCATCAAAGTATCAGCACATCAAAAGCCAGGAGGCATGAAATGCAAATGATAAAGTGAAAGCAGATGGATTGTGCATGATCGCCTGATGCCCAATGAATTTTAAAAGATGCTGGTTCACATGGGGAGAGGGGCTGAAATAAACACGTTATCCCTGCAATTTTTTTTTTGTTCTTGCTGCTCACTCCTGACAATATTTTTTCACACTTCAGCGAGCAGCCACTCCATCTCTCTCCCTCCCTCTCCCTCTCTTTCTCTCCCTCTCTCTCCCTTTCGCTGTCTACCTCACACACGTCTCGGGTCATGTCGCCGCAGCTCCGGTGGAAATAATAAGATATAAACCACGAGGTTGTTATTTGCATAGAAATAGCATGGAGCCCCAGGCAGCATGGGAGAAGGACACAGAGATCATTTGTCTAAAATTTTAATGAAAACTTTTGCTGAGGCAGAGTTTTTTTTTTTTTAACTTTCCCTGCCTCCCCCTTTTCCCACCCCCCTGCCTTCCCCCACCTCCCTCAACTCCCTTTCCTCCTCATAAGCTAAACAGGGGGAGGTCTCGTGCTGGAGAGGTGATGTGCTGCTGCCCTGCACTAACAGGTTAATTCCAGTGGTTTTCTTTTTAATAGAAGTAAGACTGAAGAGCTCAGCACCCCCAATTTATGCGTTGCTTACATGGTCCAACCTTCCTACATTTCATTTCAGTCCTCACAAGGATCTTCCCACGTCTGTTGCTGACCTATTTTTAATTAGTTTGCTCCTCCTTGCCTTTTGTGTTTAGAAGGAATCCTGACTTTGAGACTGTTTTGTTAATGTAAACAAACAGGGGCTTTCCATCACATTTTCTCTACGGATAGACGTTCTGGGCTCTTCCTAAGGGAAGCCAAGTTTAGCAGAGATTTTCAGGAACTGCTGCTAACTTGATGCACCTCAGCTTGTTACGTGGATGTTCTACCTGGTATCTCAAACAGTTCATCTTCTGAGTGATGATGAACTGTCCCACACACAGCACTTCACAGTAGAACACCTAAAGTGGTCGTCACCTCTGGAAGTGAAAGGAAGAACTGAACCAGCAGACTGTTCTGTTTCCTCTCCCTCCTGTTTAGTTTTGTTTTCCCCAAACTCTCCAGGCTTGGCCTGCCCAAATGATGCCTCAGGCCCTCAGCCTGTCCTCCAGTGTGCTGGTCCCTGGGGTCCCATGGCACCACCCTGTTGGCCTGGTTTGTCAAGAACATCCACGTGTGCTGAGCATGAGCTTGACAAATACCACCTGCCAGGAGTGTTTTTTTATCAGGAGTCAGAACCCACTAAAATACAGATTGTGCAGAGTATAGCTCAGACCCAGAACCCCAGGCTTTGCTTCCCTGCCTGCCTGGCTGTGGTCTGACTGCTCTGATCAGCATGGGTGTGATGGCAGCTACTTGGTGCCAGCTCAGTCTGGAAACCTCAGTTCATTTGTAGTTGCAATGAGCTCATCAGAGGGAAAGTACCTGCTGGCTCTGGTGCCTTGGCAGGGTGGGCAACACCATCCTCAGGATTTCTTTCTGTATTTTTGTCTCCAAAATTATCTTAAACAATGTGCCTGCTTGTATAACCTCCTCTAGACCTGAAAGCACTCAGGAAGCAGTTTACCAGATTAGCAATGCACTATTTCTGTAAATTTGGGGGGTTTGGGGAGAAAACATTTCTGAAGAACAGCTTTAAGAGGGATGTTTGGGAGAAGAACTTATCAGTGGAAAGTTGGTGGCTTGCTCCTGCAGTATGTAAATATCTAAGTAACGTCCAAGTTGCTTTCCAGCAGGTCCAGTGACCTTTCCTGAGTCCATCTTTCCTCAGTACAGACACCACTCGTGCATGGTAGGACATGAAGGTGGTAGGTGCTGGATTGTGCCATGAGAGCAGAGTGTACCTGCCAGTCATGTGGCTGTGGATGAGCCCCCGAGGGCTTGTTGGTACAACAGACCATAACTGCTGCCAGCATCCTTTTGACAATCTGAATTTAAAACCCAGCACCCCAACAGCCCCTCTGCAGGAGACCAGGAGAGAATATCCTTGTGTTTTCAGTTCAGTCCTGAGTTG